GTTGTATTGCTGTGTTTACTTTCTAACATATATTGATTTAATATATAGGACAATTAACAGTACAAACAAGGGGGAGGAAAAGGAGCAAGGTTGTTATATTTCACCAGAATCGTCACTATTAACCTGAAGTAGACTGTGTTAAAGATGCATATTGTAATCTCTAGAACAAGCCACTAAGAAATAACAAAAAATGTAGCGTAAAAAAATTCACAAATGACTTCTACCTTGCTTACTGTGGCCAGCCACACTGGCTCAAGCAGAGTGCTCTGCCACCCTGGAGCTATGGCACAGCTCACTCCTTTCCCTGGAATCTCTTTCCCTGGCTCCCTGAATGGCTGCTCATTAAAGTCTCAGCGGAAATGTCACCTTCTACAGGAGATCTCCAACTAGCCCCAAATCGGCCCCCTCTTAGTCTCTACCCCAGCCCCCTGCTTTGTTCCATCATGGTATCTGTCACCATTTGAGATTTATATATTTGTTAGTCTACCTCTTTATTGTCTGTCTCTCTCATTAGACTCCATTAGAAAGGGTCTCTCTCTCTCTCTCTCTCTCACACACTCTCTCACTCTCTCTTTCTCTCACTGCTGAATATATAACATATAAGGGTCTCTCTCTCATATATATATTTTGTGCCTTGCACATAGTAGGCAAGTCATAAGATATTGGTTTTTAAAAATACATACCATTGTACTTCAACTTTATCTGATGTCTTTTCTCATCAACTAGACCAGGGGTTGGCAAACTTTTTATGTAAAGGGTCAAATAGTAAATATTTTAGGTTTTGTAAGCCATATACTGTCTCTGTTGCATATTCTTCTGCTGTTTCCTTTTTTTTTTTTTTTCCCTAACAACTATGGGTGGGAGTTTTCCAACTCCTGTGCTATGCTACTGCAAGGGTCTTAAGGTCAAGCCTGAGTTACTGACTTATACCCCCTAATACCTAGCACAGTACTGAGCATGTAGTAAGTTCTCAGTAAACCTGGAACTCAGTTTCCCCTAACAACTATGGGTGGGAGTTTTCCAACTCCTGTGCTATGCTACTGCAAGGGTCTTAAGGTCAAGCCTGAGTTACTGACTTATATCCCCTAATACCTAGCACAGTACTGAGCATGTAGTAAGTTCTCAGTAAACCTGGAACTCAGTTAAATTGAGTTAAACTGATTGTGGGTAGAGGCTGAGAAGAGATTAAAAAATGGTCAGCTTTGGTCTAAAGGCATTTTACTAGGGAGACATGGCCTGTGGTCCAGGCTGGATGACTCAAAGGGTCATTTACCCAGGATTTACAAGTAATGGGAAAAGACAGCTTCTCATACAGTTACAGTTTCTCTCGTATTAGCTTGGAAGTCACAGATCTCCATACTCTCTCCTTACAAGAAGCAGCTCTGCTACCTTTGGCAGCTTCCTCCTCTGTGTCTACTTCCAGTGCACCTGACTGGGGCCCAAGAAAAAGAGCGCATCTTCTCCCCAGTGGTTGCTTTTGTTCTATATTACCTCGCCTTGCTATTTCGTTCTCTTGCCACCTGGTGCTCCGAAAAGCTACTGGCTTAAAGATAACATCTGCCTCCATTGGTAAGAACAAAATTTGGCAAATATGGAACTACCTACACAACTACTATGAATAATCCATAAATGATGGCCAGGAAAACTCCCTGAAAACAGTTTCTGGATGGGAACAAGTTTCTGATCCTGCTATTGTTCAAAGTCTCAAGATACACTGATAATGTATGAAAGAAGGAAGGAGGAAATGGGTGGAAAAGCTCCATGGCCACAGTCATGGCCAGAGTGCCCATTCCTGGAACTGCCAGAATGCCAGGATGCTGCAGTATCTCCTGAGAGGTCCCAGAACATGTACAATGTTTTTCCCTATGGCATTCTTGCTTCTGCACACTCCAGCAAGTCTGAGGTCAGAGCCATCTGCCTCAAGAGAGGAATGCCTCTTTCCTCTAGCATCCCAAATGTTCAGAATTATTGCCAGCACCTGCCCTATCGATAGCTGTCTTCCTGGGCTTGGGAGGAGAGAGAGACAGGGGAGAGCAGAAGTGCTATCTTGTGTCCTGCTAGGTCTTCAACCTCTGAGAAGTAGTGGAGCCACCCACAAGAGACTGGCTCTGGCTCTATCTCCAGGCACTTCCTTCCTTCTTTCTTACGTCTTGAGATCTCAGAATAACTCAGTGCAATGTTCTTTGTAAAGTCTCTGCCACCTCACATTTACCTCCCATTTTCATAGAAGGAAAAAAGGGAACAAGGGGGTCCCTTGGGTGTTGTAACCAAGCAAGCAGATGCCTCCAAAGGAAGGTAAGTGTCAGATGCTTAACTGAATGACAAAGTAAAACATATTATCTAATCAAGCTTCACTCTGATATAGCAAGTCTTATGTTTTAGATAAGAAAAAAGCAGAAGGGTCAAATAACATTTAAAAACAGGCTGTGAGTGAGTGATAGAGCCAGAAACAGCATCAAAATCCCTTGATCCATAGAAAAAGCCTTGTCTACCAGAAGAGCCAAGAGTGTGGGCAGTGACACTAAGAGATAGGAGCAAACGGCCTGGGGAGGAAAGGAGTGACGGCCTGGGGAGACACTTTAGAAAAAGTAAATTAAACAAGTCCCAAGGTCCCTTGTAGCTATTCTAATGAGTGCCAAGGGGGTTCTATGTTTCTGAAGAAGATAATTCAAAATGAAGTGAACATATGACTTTGGGACTCAATTTTGCAAGTCTGATTTAGAAAAGCTAGAATAGTAAGGTGGAGAAGGAGCTGTAAGAAATAATGGACACATGGTACCATGGGGAAAATATTCCGAGGGGAATAGACCTTCAAAAGCAACAGCAATTGCTATAACACTGAATGCATGGACAAGAGAGCTGACAGGAGCTGGGAGCTGCATGCTGTTTTATCTCTGAACATCACTACAAGTGACAATTTCTTCTTGCTAGCCACCTCTAGAACAGTCACCTTTGAGTTGCATGTGGAAAACAGGTTAGAATCGAGCAATGCCAGGAATGTGTTTTTCCTCATGTTTTACATGATATGACATCTGGCATCACGGAGGCCATCAGGATACGGGGTCAAGCTATCAGGTTAGAAATAGAATCAGTGGGACTAAGGTGGTGGAGTGAAGTGGATGTGGCAAATAGGAAGTGAGGTCTCACAAAGGAATTAAGAGTTGGAATACAAAACTAAAGCAATGACACATGAGGTCAGAATCAAAAGTGGTGGCTGAAGCACCAATATTTGGTTACCATCAGCAGGGCCACAGGAGTCAGTGAGCAAAGAGGAGATTGCCAGAAGGCCTTGGATGTGAGGCTTCCTCCTCAACAGGCCCCATTCTGTAGGTTCAGCTCCACATGCTGACATCTCCATGAGACCCAACCACCATTCCCCCACATACATATGAGGAGACTTAAGTAGAGGGAGGCTTGTCCTAGTGATGTGAACAAGGTGTCATCAGACGCACACCCAAGATTAAAATCTTTACCTCTCCAACTCTCTTTTTACCTAGGCACATCATTAATACAAAGTGATATATTTGCATTTTTCAGATGCATTTGAGAAGATGGCCCCAATGTATCATGAGCTACCGAGCAGGAGCTCCATACAAAGCACTGTGTGACAAGGTGACGAATGTCAGGCAACACCTAAAGGGCGGAGATGCCCAACTCTTTAAAAGTGTGGTCAACTCTGAATGATCTCTGTGTGGATTATACCATGTTAAGGTTTTACTTAGAGGCTTTCTTCCCTCTGCCTCTATGGACGTTTTTGGTTTTCGTCTCTTACTATATCTGTTGGTGTGCAATCAGGTTAAAAAATGAATTTGAAAACTATTTTAACCTAAGCAAATCACAACCAACATGGTAAATCTGCTGGGGAAGAAAAATCCCCCAAAGTCAATATCTTTATACTGTCTGATGCCTTGATTAAATAGGGCCAAAGTTTTTCTTCCTGAAAAAGTTTATTTAAGTATAGGGTAAGTTCTACATACTGAGTGAAGTCAACTCAAACCCACTGCTTTTCTCTAACTCGAGCTGGGAAAGCTGGAACTCCTTTGCCTTTGGCTTGAAGACCAGGCATTTTTCATACCAAATGACTAAAGAATGAAGGTCTTGGTTGACTTACGACTTGAATCTAACATGATGGATCACTGGTTTTTATAGAACAAGAAAATGAACAAAGAGACTCAATATTATCCATCGAGGAAAAATTAGACCAATGTTTATTGACTGATTGATTAATATAATACAACAGCCATTTAAGTATGCCTACGATGTGGAAAAACACTAAGAAGTGATGTTGGGGATGCATTAAAACATTGCCCCACCTTTAAGTTATGTATTATATATAATCAAAGTTGTAGGCTTTTCACTTAATAAAGATGATAACCAAATGATCACAGCTGGTATGCTTTGAGTAATCCTGAAAGTTCTGAGACCCGATACTAGAAAAATATTTTGAAACAGAAATTTGTCTAGGGTAGGATTTTTCCAGCTTGGCAATCCTATTTTTTTTGTCCTTTTTGAGACCAACCGCACCGCGCTCAGCCAGTGAGTGCACCGGCCATCCCTATATAGGATCCGAACCTGCGGCGGGAGCGCTGCTGCGCTCCCAGCGCCGCACTCTCTCAAGTGCGCCACGGGCTCGGCCCAATACTGACATTTTGTCTTCAATAATTTTTTTGTTGTGAGGGGCTGTCCTGTGCATTGCAGGACATTTAGCTGCATCACTGACCTCTACCCACTAGATACCAGTAGTAACCCCCCTGCCCCAGTTGTGACAATCAAAAATGTCTCCAGACATTGCCAAACATCCGTTGAGGGGCAAAATCACCCCAGTTGTTGAGAATCACTGGTCAAAAGATGTTTTCTCTTTAAGATCACACAATAAATATACATATGCTTAAGTAAAAGGAACCAAGTTGGGACACTAAAAGTTCTTGTACTCATTTTTACATGTGATTTAGGACATTTAAAAATGTATACTAATATGCTGATAGCAAAAGAATACTCACTGTGTACAAGAAAACAAAAATCTTTCCACATCAGCAGCAGAGTGAGTTTTGTAAAGCCTTCTGCATCATATTCCACGACACCTCTAAGTAACAAAAAACATACACACACAAACAAAAAACCCTCATAAAAATAAGGTATAAAAGAGATGAAACTAAGTAAAGAATATATTCATGAAGTCAGAGTTATTGAATCTGAGATGGATTTAAGGTAAGTAAGCAATACTGCAGGAAGGGCATGGAATTTAGAATGAGAGCTTCTGGATTTAAGTCACAGCTTTGCCATTTACTACATAATATGACCCAGGCAAGTCACTTAACCTTTGGAGCCCAAGTTTCTTCATCTACAAAACAAGTATAATAATATATGCAATCTTCATTACAGGGTTGTGAAAAACAAGATAAACCATAAAATGCTATGCAAGTTTTTGCTACTAGCTATGAATAAAAGGACAAGTTAAGAAATCAGGTCAGTAATGACCTTATAATGCCAAATGTTACCACACAAGCTGTACAGTGATTAAGTTTCACCTTCACTGGGCACCAAACAGTAACACGTATTACTAAATTTAGGATTATATATTACTTTTCTTGCAAAGTACATGGAATCTTTTCACTTGTGTCCCCCTGGCCTCCCCCCTGGGCTCAAGATAAAGTAGCAACATTAGACACCGGGTTCAGATGGGAGATGTACACCTCGTGTGTCATGGGAGAACAGCTCCTGACCACTGAAGGGGCCAAGCAGGATTCTGGTAGGCTCACCTCATCCATTTTCCTCAAGAGCTGAGTGCCTGGGGGTGTCACCATAATATGACATACATTGAGGACATAATAACCATACACTGAAGACAAGAATAATTTTCTCTCTCATCCATACAAGGAAGAATTTGATGTCCTTAGAGATGCCTTCTCCCTGGCCAAATCAGACCAATCAGATTGTTGATGCTGACAACCTCCCAGTTTAAGTAGGAAGGAACAGTTGCACCCCTTGTAAAGGTGAAGGAATTAAGATATCGAAAGCTAAGTGATCTGCTCAAAGAGGTTGGTATATCACTCAGATCTTCTGACTAAAGTCAATAATTCTATTCACCAGTTTATATTTCTATGAATTTATAATTAACTCAACATGTTATAACACTGATATCTACACTTTTTAGATCCTGCATCCCAAAACAACTTCATAATCCTCTTTAGTATGCATACAGTATGGTAATACAGTAGTATCTATATATAATTTAGTAGTAATTGTATACGAGTACTACTATATTACTATACCATATGCATAAAAAAATACACAAAAATGTACACTGAAAAAGAATGAGATTTAACAACAAATATAAAGACTGAAGAAAATGCACTGCCTCTCCTACCAAGCTCAGACCCAGTAGAAGCTTGATGAGGCCCCTTTCGTCATGTAAGGACACAGGGCTGCAGAGTGGCACAGCCGCTGGCAGCCGCAGGGAAAGAGCAAACACACAAGACAGCAGCAGTGGGAGATGCCCACTCTGTAACTGCAGTCACCCACTTCCCTTTTCCCTCTCAGTGCCTTCTTCTAACTCCTAATCTCAAGTATGAGTCACCACTTTTGCATCTAATGCTAGATTTTCTTCCCAAATCTGTGTGGCACTGTTGGCAGTGGAGTCCTGTCAGGAGACCTGAGTCCTGGAGAAACAGGGTTCCTTCCCTGGCTCCGCCTCTTCTAGGAGTGTGACTTCCACTGGGTTCACCTCATGATTGCTGTGAGATGTGGAGGTGAAAGTGCTGTGCACTCTGCAGGGAGCTCAACACAAGTGGGGGTTACTACCAGGAATACTGCTGCCTTTAGAGCTGGTCACGCTGCTGCTCTAGGGGTAATGTTTGATTCTATTTATTGCTCAAGAATGCTAAAAACATGTTTCCTTGGAGCTTTGGCATAAGCAACACACCACAAAGAACCAAAAAGGCACTGAAAATGTATCATATGTAAGAACTAAGTGCTGTGTTTTTAATCAAGTCCCCACGTTAGGGTCACCAGCAAGTGATGGCATCCTTGGTACATGGCTTAAACAGAGGAGAACTTACGTGCCAAAGTGACTGAGAAAAGCAGCAATGTACTCTCTTCTTTTGTGATATCCTTGAATCACATACTGCACCTGCAATAGGAACCCAAAGCAGAGAGGTGGAGTAGGAAGTTTTTAAGTGCTTTATTGTAAAAAAATTCCAAAGATTCAGAGAAGTAGAAAGAATAGTAAAATAAATATCCATATTCCTACCACCTATATGCAACACTGATGAATATTTTGCCCACTTGCTTCATCCCGCCATCTATCTATCTACCTATCTACCCATCATCAACATTTCAAAGGAAATTTGAGACATCATGACAGGTCGCCCCTAAGTGCTTCAGTATGTATCTCCAAAAAATAAGACATTCTCCTACTACATCAGCACAATATCATTACCACACACACCAAATTTTGCAGTCATTCTCTTCATTCATCTATTATCCTGTCCATTTTCAAAAATTCCCAATTGTCCCCAACATGTTTGTTTTTAAGCAGTATACAATTAAGAATCAGGCATTTTATTTGTGTTTTCTTAATGCCTTTTACGTCTTTTAATCTAGACTAATAACACCTCCTTGAGTGTGTGTATGCAAGTATACATGTGTGTATCTGCACATGCATACATGACATTGACTTTTGAAAAAGATTGGACTAGTCTTATAGAATGTCTCAATTCTCTGATTGTTCCCTTTCTTTTTCCTTTACTCTCTGTATTTCCTATAAATTGAAAGTTAGAGCTAAATGTGTGATTAGATTCAGGTTAAATATTTTTGGCAAGAAAACTTCACAGGTGATACTGGCTTGATCACTTGGTTAAGCTGATGACAGTCAGACCACCCCACTGTAAAGGGATGTTTCCCTTTGCCATAGTGAGTAATCTGTGGGTATACCTCTTAAAGCACATGAAGATCTAGTTCCTCATCAACTTTTCACCTCATGGTTTTAGTATCTGTAGGAGATCCTTGTCTGAATCAATTATTTCATTAGGGGCTGCAAAGTGATGATTTTTGAATTCTATTATTCCTTTTCCATTTATCAGCTGACATTCTCTGTAAAGAAGGCTTTTTCTCCCCAAAAGAAGTTATTGGTTATCTTGAACTCCTATTGAAAAGGCAGGATAATGCTTAATTCTTTTAAAAATCTTAATATTCAGAATAAAGAGTGTTACAATAGATCTTATTTTGCTTTTTTATATTTCCTTGTTATCACTAAATGACAGTTTCTACAAAAAAAATTGTGAACTCATTAAGCTAGGCATCTGAAAGTTAGTCATTTATCCATCAGTTTCTAACATTGAAACACTTTCCTTATATTGTCCTCATAATGGCTGAAAGAAACAGTGGGAAAGAGAGACACCCCCCCAAATTGTTTACATTGGCTGTAGCCACATTGAATTTTTTCCATTGCTAACAAAAGTTCAGGATAAAGGGTTTGAAATAACCTTGACACAATTGGTATCGATAGCTATGTTGTACCCTTTAAAAGTAAAACAATTCTATTTATATAACAGGGGTTTATGTCAATTTATAAAAATAGTGCTTACTTTGCAGGCTTAGGGCAAGATCAGAAATGTTATTTTGGGAAAAGAAAAACAGATGATAAGTTTGCTTAAGTGCTTTGTTTAAAAAGGGGATGAAAACAGTTCTGTATACTTGATTTTAAAAACAGAAAACCATTTTAACAGAAACCCACAACAAAACTGGCTATAAAGATAGATTCCAATGTAATTATGGAAATTCATTTGAAGAGATTGTTTCTAAAAGCAGCCCATACTGTCCTCATTTGTAGCAAACAGAAGAACGACAATTTTAAAAGACAAGTAAAATTAATGAAAGGGAACCAGATAAGAAAAATTGACTGATTTTTATATTTCTGGGAAAATGTTATTATAATTTTTTTTCCCCAAAGAAAATGTATGACTAGAAATTAATCTCAATTGGAGAGCTTTAAAAAGGCTTTTCTTCTTGGTTCTGGAAGACCAAATTTGCATTTTTCTCTGTAATTCTGGGACATAGATTTGAAGGCAGTGCAAAGCCCCAGAACGTAAATAAGAATTCTGTCCTCCAATCAGTTTTGCAGGAGGGCAGAAGCTGGGGAATTTGGTCTGATGAGAAACAACCAGGCCATCAGAGTTAAATGCCCTGCAATCTGTGCCAGGCCCACAGACTGAAGAGTTGACAGATTTTAGTTTCTCTGACATTTCAAAAATGATACTGAAGCCTTTAAAATATTATTGTACTTTTAAAATATTTTCTATATAGAGATGAGCTATCCTTCAAATGAAAGAGAGAAACATAAGATCTATTCTCCAAGCTAATGTGACAAAGTCAATAGGAGCAAAGAAAATAGCACTTTGGCAATTAAACAAACTGAGTCACAGTCCATGTGGGAGAGGAAAGAGAACACTGCCTGTGCATTAATATCTCTAGTTTTAGTGAAATACACTGGCTGGACATTAACAAGTACAAAGTAACTTCAAAACGTTTGTGGGAAAGTGGAATTAAAAGATAAAAATAAAAAACATAAACTTTATTTCTCAACATAGCTCCATCAAGTTCAAGATATGTTAGGTGATGATTCCAGACATTTAGTCCATCCCTAAAGAACTGAGGTTTCTGGGAATTTAACCATGTCAATGCAGTCTTTTTACATTATTAACTTAAGAAAAATGGGTGACCTTTAAAGATTTTTTTAAGATTAGAAAACAAAAGGAAGTCAGAAGGAGCCAAATCAGGATTGTAAGGTGGATGCCAAATGATTTCCCATAGAAACTCTTGCAAAATTGATGAAAGGAATGAGCAGGAGCATTGTTGTGGTGGAGAAGGACTCTCTGGTGAAGTTTTAATGGGCGTTTTTTTGTTAAAGCTTTGGCTAACTTTCTCAAAACACTCTCAGTTGTTATCGTCCTTTGGCCCTCCAGAAAGTCAACAAGCAAAATACCTTCAGCATCCCCCAAAACTGATGCTCTTGATTGGTCTGTTTTTGCTTTGACTGAACCACTTCCACCTCTTGTTAGAGATAGCTTTGATTGTGCTTTGTCTTCAGGATCATACTGGTAAAGCCATGTTTCATCTCCTGTTACAATTTTTTGAAGAAATGCTTCAGGATCTTGATCCCACTTGGTAAAAGTTTCCATCAAAATCTCTGCTTTTATCTGCAGCTGATCTGTGTGTAACAGTTTTGGCACCCACTGAGTGAAAAGTTGCTCAACTGTAATTTTTCAATCAGAATTATGTAAGCTGACCCATTTGAAATGTCTATGGTATTGGTTATTGTTTCTGCTGTTAATTGTCGGTCCTGTTCAATTTGGACACAAACAAGATGAATTTTTTCCCCTGGCAAATTGATGTGGATGGTGCTGCTGTGGGCCTCATCTTCAACACTGTCTTGTCCCTTCTTAAAATGAATTATCCATTTGTAAACTGCCAGAGACCAGCTCCAGTCGAGTTGGGGGTCCTTGAAAGAGGGATGAGGAAGCGGTGAAAATAAAAAACACAGGCAGAGACCTCGGTTCCTTTGAAGCACGTTCTCAACCTGCGGGCTTCAGCTGCTTTAGCTGCTCTGGCTGCGACAGTGCTGACAGCCTGCAGGTTGAGAACGTGCTTCAGAGGAACTGAGGTCTCTGCCTGTGTTTTTTATTTTCGCTGCTTCCTCATCCCTCTTTCAAGGACCCCCAACTCGACTGGAGCTGGTCTCCGGCAGTAAACTGCTGATTTCTTTGGGGTATTGTCCCTATAAACTTTTTGCAAGGCACCAGTGATTTCACCATTCTTCTACCCAAGCTTCAATATAAATTTAAACTGCTGATTTCTTTGGGGTATTGTCCCCATAAACTTTTTGCAAGGCACCAGTGATTTCACCATTCTTCTACCCAAGCTTCAATATAAATTTGATGTTGGTTTTTGCTTCAATTTTAGCAGAATTCATGTTGCTCTCATAGGAGCTCTTTTCAAACTGATGTCTTATCTCTCTTAGTGCCTCAAACTAGATCCTGTTCAGACATGTTATAACAAGTTAGTATGAGTTTATTTTGATGCAAAATTTTTTGAAATCCATGCATAGCTTTTTCATAATAAGCACTCTCTGTGAACTTTTTGAAGACTCCTCATATATTCTTAAACTGTTGAGGAATATTTGACAACAACCGTTAAAGTAAACTCAGCTACTTGCCAGTGTAATAATGCAGCTGAGAGAAAGCTTTGGATAACCTGATGTGCCTGGGTATAAGACCAGCTGACTCAGAAATCTTGCCCGTAGGAGCAAGATGCTAACAAACTGCTCCCAGACATGACAGGGAGAATCAAGAACTGACTATTAAAAAGTGAGGTGCAGAAAAGCAGAAAGAGTTAAAGGCAGTTTTAAGAATTATCCTGATATCAACTAGCGACAAACACATGCACACACATGAATGTAACAGGCAAATGGGAAATGAAGGAGTTTAAAAATTTTTAACTGTAAGAAGGTATAAGATCTAGCAAAAACTTAAGGAATAAATAAAATTCAAGAAAGAGGTGACTTAAATCTCCAGATATAAAGTTAAGAGATGAAGATAAGACTGGAATAGGGGGTCAGAATCCTTAGAAAAGGAAGAATGATGGCAAAGACACAGGGAGAGAAACAGATAAATTATAATTCAAAGTAGGAAAGGCAGATGTCAGATGGAGGTTGAAAGTAAGAAGATGGTCTGAGGAGGATGGTGCATGCACGATGATTCTGGGTATATGGTATATGCATAGGAATCTCACAAGTCAGAGGAATCAGGGGACTTGCTTTTACCTTGTTGGTAAGCAGGTGACATACTTGAGGAACATAATCAATGAGACATCCTCCTCCCGGAAAAGCTGGGATATGAAGAGCTGAGGAGCCTCCAAGTGCACTGAAAGAACAAGAGTACAACAGACACTTCTCTTAGGGCTCAAGCAACTTAAGAAGTGACACAGCCAAACAGATTTAGCTTCTCATCAAAATCTGGCCACCAACTGCTGGATTAATGATGATGGGAATATGGGCTTTACTTTAGGATTAAATTTCTATATTTTAATTCATTTGGTTAAATTAGTATGTTGTGTTATACACTATTAACAACAATGAAGGATATTATCACACAACAGTACAAAATAGCAAATTTGGGTTGGCACAGGTAAATGTCTTAACATTAATGGGCTGTATGTATTACTGAAACATACACTTTTATACCCTTCATTATGCCTAATTCATTGCTGGGTAAAGTTATTCATTAAATACCTGCACTGAACTAAAATGAATTGGATGCAACATTGTAACAGTATACTGAAGAGACCAGTTCTATAGTTTACCAGCTCTATTACTTTGTACTCTAAAAGGTATACAAGAGGGTATGGTCTAAACAAGAAGGTATAGTCAATAATTACTGATTTAAGCACTAAGATACAATATTCATTCAGAAATAGTTTCCAGAACTTTTGCAGAGATTCTTTTTTCAGTTTAAATTAACCAGCATATAATTATTAAAAGAAATTGTTCAGAACTTTACAGCATGCATTTCATTTACAACCTTTAATTTTGATTTCATCTTCTTTCCTACTCTCACTTTCCTTTTGCCCTAGTTTGTTTTTCTTATTTTAACGTATATATTTCTAAAAGCCCCTTAAATCCTTTCCAAAATATGGTAGGATATTTTAAAAAGACCCGAAAATCCCTTAATTCTGTGATTATTTATTATTCAAGTCCTCACATTTACAAGGTTGTAAGTGGAAGGAAGAGGAGTCACAATAACTGCCTAGAAAATCATCCCTAAAGAGTTTAGGGCAGATTGACTCAATAGCAGATATGTATATATATATCTCTACTAAAAGGACTCCAGACCAATCATGGCTTCCTATTGACTACAGATTTCTAAAATTTTTCTAGTAAAAATGAATTTTATGTTTATTTGTTTGTGGGAATGAAAAATCCCAATGAACAAAATCCCAGGTGATATGAGGAAGTCAATGTGGAGTGAAAATATTTGATACTGACTTTTTCTACTCTGATGATTCCTGAAAGCATAACTCTGACAACTGAGAAAATTATAAGACAAAGTTTAACTAAGAATGACATTAATGAATCATCTATACTCTGCAACTGTACAGAGTCAGCAAGACCATCATATTTTTTCATTACTCTTCAAGTAGACATTGCATTAGATTTAGCCTAAACTCTAAGAAGGCTAGGAAAATTTCTCAGACTTCTGTGAATGTAAGGAAGGCTTTTTGTCCCCTCTTTTGTATATACAAAGCACACAGAAGGCACACATCTAACCAGAAGGTTCTAATGACTCCATTAGGATGGAACACTGATTAAAAAGAAAATTCTATATCAATCCAATATTTATATCCTGTATTTATTAGTCAGATATCTGTATGACAGATAATGCCAAGATCCAGGCCACTAACAGTTTATCTAGAGGAACAGTCTTTGGCATAATCGAATTCCAAAAAAGAAAATAATTTGGACAGTTCCCTGGAACTGATTGTAATGAGCTTTGACTTGCATAAAATATTACAGGATAAGTCCTTAATCACTCATTAAATTACATACAAGGAAGGAAAACAGTCTGTGGGTAATCCTCTAAACTTGAAACTCTCTCTCTCTCTCTCTGCTTGAATTGTGTCATTCTGGAATATCCTTTAAACAAAAATTATGTATAAGGAAGCAAGGTATGAAGAAATCCAAAGTCCAGATGTTTTGCTGCCAGGCCCATATTTTCGCACCCTGCTTCTGTGATTATCAAGAACTAACACTTGTTGCTAGGTGCTTTATCACATTATCTAATTTAATCCTCCCCACAATTCAATGAGGTGGGAATTATCATAATAATTTTACAGGAGAAGAAATCAAGGTTCAGAGAGCAGAATAAATTGCCTCAAGTTTATATAATTAGACAGTGGTAAAAACCAAGATCTCATCGCAGGTCTGCCTGTCACCAGATTCCAGGCTATTTCTGCTGAAATATGTGCCTCCCTGAGAGGAGGGAGATTTTAATCACAAAAGGCTACAGGGATGGGAAGAAACAGTGGGTCTGGGTACCAGTCAGCTGGGTCAGGATCCAGTGATGATAAAGGATTCTCAGAGGCACTTAGATCTTTATGAAAGCAGACACTGATGTACCCAATTTTCCACCCAGCCACGAGGCAAGCATTCCTCTTAGTTTTGTTCATAGCTCAGTATGCCCCCACCTCACTATCAAAGAATCAGATTCGCTTGATTTTGGATGTGACAGACCAACCACTCTGGCATGTCTAATTCTGAATGACTTCAATGTGTGAAGCACTTCAGGTTCGAAGGACAATTTTAACTGAGTTTATTTTTTAAAGGATGCTTATTTCACCCTTTATTTTACTCAGCAGTTTCTTAACCTGGAAGGGTACAAAACCTTACATCCAACTACACACACTGATAAGTGCTGCTGATTCACATACAAGTATCCGCCTCATGGGTAAATATTTAACAGGCTTGCTATAGACTGAATGCTGCCCTGATCATGCTAAATAAACAAAGTCAAGTGCCAGGAAATAAAGGAGCTATTATGTTTTTAAGGGGTGCAAGATGGAGGTAAGGCCTTGTGATCTCTAATTATTTAATATTCATGAATCAAAAAATAGTGGACTGAGCATGGACAACAGAAAACTCACTCTGTACCGAGATTCCAGGGCTCGCTCAGATATTCCTGGAAACTCAAGGCTGGCTGGAGAGAAGGCAGGGCCTAACGCAATAAGTGGCTGAGCTGGGGCTGGAGGAGGGGTGAGGAGGGGATGAAAGGGAACATTTGGTGTTGGTTCTTCTGATCTCTAGAGTGGCGCTGTGAGGAAGCAGGGGCACAAAGGTGAGGGAAAGGAAATCGGTTCAGCAGGGTCTCAGGCTGAACGTGGGAAGACAGAAGGGTGAGAAGAGCTGTTTTGATGAGAAAGTACCTTCCATCACTTCATGGACTAAAATGAAACATGAAATTTGTTGATAATTCTTAGAACTGAAACTGAATCTATGTATATAAATTAGAAGGACAAGGCCAGAGTTTAAAAAACCTTTCCGACAATGAAGTTAATTACATAGACCAAAAGGTAACCAGAAAAGCATGTCCAGGTCTGTCTCATTGGCTCTAGATGTTAAATGTAAAAACTGTCTATATTGAATGTATTAATACTCTTCTTTTTCATGCAAAAGAAGCTAATAGAGCCCTTCATGAACCTTGCTCTGTCTGCAAATATTCAGAGCGGCTCTAATATTGATGACTTGACTTGGCTGCAGTGTGACAGTAAAAAGAAATTATTTTTGAGTATTGTGACATGAAAAAAGCCTGTTTGAAAGCTTGACTTGGGACAATGGGGTTTGATTTTGACCCATTATGGAACAGCAACTCCCCTTCCCTCTACGTGGGGTTTTACCTTACTGGTCTAGTAAAATGAGCAAAACATAACTTAGCACTGGAGGAAACCAGAAGGGCCAGTGATTCTCAATCATAATTCTTGCTTCTGCAAGTTTTCTGTGGTTCTACTCAACTTTCTCATCAGTGCAGTGGGGACTCTACTCTCAAAAAGACCCATCTCTCTCAAAGCATTAAAAGAATTAGGGTACCAATTAGAGATACACTAATATTCAAATAACCCAAGCACTCCAAGAGCGACTTTATTCTAGAATGCCTCTAGTTTGAGTGTTCTTTGTCCATGGGTCAGGACAAGGCACTGTCAGAGACACTTGGGTCAGCCTTAGTGTCCTGCTCTTGCCTTGAATTGGCTTCTGAGGGAAAGAAAGCTGACCTGGCTACTTCCTCCACAGTATGATTCCGGGAGTGTTGCAGATTGAAGCATAGAAATGGGGAGCTTCTGGGACAGTAGACGGAGACAAGCTGCCTCCGGCCCTCAAACTAAGGGAAATCCTAAGGAAAGGTTGCTGCCTTCAATGCATTCAACAAACACTAATCTTGTGCCTAATTCTGTTTAAGGACTTGAGTTTCCCATTCTGAATATATACTAGGGCACCACTGATAAGTCCCTTCAAGATAGAAGAATGCCAGGGACCTCAAGAATCTGGGGACTCCAAAATACCAGAGCATGTCTCCTGGTAAAACAAAAGTCACTGTGGTTTTTTGAGTACCCACTTTTGCCAGGCACTCTACCACTTCATGATCTTTCAACCTCACAACAACCCTACCAGTGGACCAAATTAATCTAATTTACAGATGAGAAAACTGATAGTCTAAGAGTCTAAGCATCTTATCCAAGATAACCCAGCAAGTAAGTTGCAGAGATGTGCTTGAATCCAGGTCTCTCTGTTGCCAAAGCCTATGTCCTTTTTCATCAGGAATTCTTTCACAGAAAGATGGCGTGGAATTTTAAGTCTAATCTCTACCTATATACCAAAACAGTGGTATAAGTGACTGAAATTGTCCTCCAAGCTTTTATCCATAAAATTTATCACCTCATTATCTCACTTTTTCTCATCTTAAGATATCACATGTCACAACAAGTTAACCTGGTGAGATTAAAAAAGAAAATCACTTATAGATTCTTAACATCCAGAAAGACATACATAATAAATTTTTATTAGAGAGGCTCTGGTTTTATTTATTTTCTAACTGGATGTTTTCTTCCTAGTAAAGCATTTTCTAGACCTGTTGTTGGCCTTCATCTCATTTTATTGATTCAAGTGTAAGCCATCTCAAGAGTTTCTCAGTCTTTCAGTTAAACAAAAATCAGGGTGTAATTCAATATGGGAAAATCTCAATGAGCACAACAGAAGAAAATAAAAGACAGGAGATCAGAATGACAGGTTAAGTACACAAGCAGGAGAAATGCGGGGAATCACAGTGGATCAGAGGCTCACTAAAGCATGGATGCAGGCCAGGCCACATTACATTGT